AATTATCTCTAATTTTTCTATGCCCATTATACTTTCCAACAACATTGGCTCTGAATTACTTGCCAGATAGTCCTATATACAAAAAATAAAATCAAATACTCTCTGTTTTTAGAAACCTAAGGGAAATACATTCGTAACTATTATAGACTTTAAAAATAAACCAGTTTTTTTTAATTCTAAGCATTTAATTTTATACTGATAATAGAAAATATTATTCAGCAATTTCGCGCGTGATAATTGCTATTTTTACTGATTTCCCAAACATGCGGAAATCTATATAAATAATGATAGTGCTTTTATTAAAGCGTACGCCTTAGTAAATTTCCAAGTATCTGAAGAGAATATGCTTTTGATTATATTCACTATATATTTGGGTGGAAATCAATAGAGCAAAATACATTTTACTATTCTAATTATATAGGCATAAAAACTAACATAAGATCCGGAATAATAGTCGTATTCCCTTTTAATAAAAAATATTAATGAAGGATTGTTAGTTGCATTTTCTAATAGGGCTATGAGCACGCCTCAAGATGCCATTTTAGTTCACTCAGTCTTGCCACGTAAAAGTTATTCCTATCCATGATTAACTGCAGTTTTCCCTCGCTTTGGTCTTATCAATGTATCCAACTGGAATATAGTCATGGTGGTACATGGTGTATTTTCGACATGCAAAATGTAAAATGGTAGAGACACTGCTTGCTTTGAACTTCAAGAATACTCTATAATAGACTGGCAGACGTGGCAGTTTGGTGTGATGACAAGAGGTCGAAAGTATACACCTCTTTACTCGGGTTCAATACCCGCAGGGGGTGCGGATGAGACACAGTTAAATAGGGAAACGCAGTACACCTAGGATTAGAATACCTTTTGAGAAGCAAACTTAAGTAAAGTTAATGTCATCAAAAGCCTATTCATATAATTGTGAGAAAATGCAATTATCAGTTATTCATCACCTTATGTGGCCTAAATTGGATGCAGCTCTTTTCTTTTTAGCCTTAGGGCATTTTTTAAAACAAAAATGTTGGACTGTAGCCTTAGATATTTATTCATATGCTAATATAACATACTTGCTAAAATATTATTCTTATATAGGTTAGGGTGTTTTTACTAAAAACTAGTCTGGTAAGTAAGCTTTGCATAAATCGATCCTAATTTTTAAATATTTATTTCTGGAATAATTAATGAATAAAGGTGAGGGTATTTAGAAAATTATAATGTATAGGTAAAAAGGTAACATATGACTAATCATGCCAAAATTTGGATCAACGATCCTAAGTCTAATTTTATAATTATAATTACATGTGCAAAAAATAATAAAATAAGACATTCACATTAACCAATTGAGTAAAAATCATCTGAACAATTGAATTATTGTTTAACTAGAGAAACGAATATTTTATGCTAATATAAAGCAATATGTATTGTAACTATGATAATAGTAATAGTTTTACTTGGACATATTTAGAATTATGTCTCGAAATTTGTCATATTAAACATATATATATACATTTACTCGGAATGTCAATGATTTTCATATATTTGGGGAATTTTCTATAGATTTATAAGGGATAAAGAAAAGAGAATTTCAAACGAAAGATTCATAAATGATTGATTTATAAAGGAGACATTTTATTAATACTAGTGGATTAAAAATGTTAACATATCTTTTAATCCTATATTTCTTAGATATTTACGCCCAAATATAAGATAAACAATGTGATAAGCTCTTCTATCTTGGGCTTATATATTGAAACAATAAATCATTAAGTATATCAATATGCTGGCTATTTTTCATTATACATCTATGAAAATCTTGTGATATTTTCTGATACGCCCATTTCATTTAGTATTCATAAGGATAATTATACGACTCCTTTATCATCATACTATTCTTATTTGATTGATGAATTTGCTTGAAGAAATATTCAAAGATTTGTCTTGAGTCATTTATTGCTATAACTGCGTTTGAATATGAAACGAGAAATTTTATTATTTATATGTTTATTCACAAAATGAATAAATAAATTATAGCATATTTACTTAAAAGTTGGGAGTCCAGAGTGTCTTAAGTCAATAATGCTGGTGCCTCAGAAACTTAGGAGAAAAATAAATAAAAAGTATCAAAAACAGTTTTTTTAACAGATATTTACATTAATTCATTTTTTGCTTGAAAAATTTTACTTCATACCAAATGCATCAAAGTTGCTAAGGCAAAAAGAGTACTAAGTTAAATACCTTTAACAATTATGACAACTAATATGGCAGACGACTTCGGACTACTAAGTAGCCTTGACAACAAGACCAAGTTATGACAACGAGGTCAATCCACTTCTATAAATACCTTCAGTTTATTAAGGCAATTCTTATCTTACTAATCTTTGACGTGAATATAGATAAAAAGTTGATTGATTCTATGTTTGACCGAGAGATACCGGAATATTCAGCACTGTAGGATATTTTAAGAGGACTTTAACAAAAATCTATTTAAATTGCAATTTTATTATTTTTAAAACTATTGATATTTTATGTGTTTATCAAGATTTATATTTAAATATCAAGTGATATTTTTGAATAATTGAAATTGGTCATGAAAGCTATCTCAGGCAAGCGAAAGCAATGACTATTTTTACATAGAGAAGGGCATAGCAACGATTACATAATATCGGACACATATCTTCTTAAGATGCAAGCCTTTAAAAAAAAATTTGTATAGACTCTGAGGAGATTGTCAGAAATAGAACTAACGAGGCTAGTTGGACCATTCTCCTATAAAGAGCTAAAGATTTAGACTTATGCTATGATGAAAGGCTCAACGATCTGTCTTTGAGCAATCTAATATAACTTCAGATCTTGTCTAAAACTTTCTGAAAGATTAGAGACCTCCCTGATCAAAGTATACTAATATGTTTGCTAATAATCCTAAACAAAATCATACCTTTACAAAGAGAGCCAATTGAGAGACTCGTGACTTGGTTTGAATTTTATATCCATCATTTCATTTAGGGGAGCTATATGACATAGTGTTGATGCAGAATTCCGATCCAAATTGCTTTATTGGAATTGCTGAGATAGAGATCAAAATTTTAATTCACTCTAGATTAGTAAGACTTGTAAACAAAGCACAATAATATTTGATGGCATTGTCATATCCTCCTGCCAAGTTTTTGTGGTTAGCTCAATTATCAGCTAGTAAATCCCCTCAGGCGGCCTAAGGCGACTCTGGTTGAAAATAAAACTAGTATTATAAGTAATTGAAATAAGCAATAGGCATAGTTAGTCGTTTATCTCAGAAACAAGAGCAATTTTCTGAATTGATAGGTTAATTTGTGATAAAATTAAATTTAATAATATGCTTCGGCCTTAGGCC